TTCTTTACTGTAAAATTAATAAAAAGAAAAGAGAAATCTTTTTAAAATATTATATCGAAAAATATGTCAATTTTAATACGCTTAACTTAACTGATCAATGCTGATAAACTCGTGATTATACTAAATCCACCAACACAAAATGATATAAAAACAGTTGTTTCTTTTATTAACGAGTCATTAGAACTGAGGAAAGTAGACCAATAACGGATTTTCGAAGGAAATATCGGTTATTAAAATGGTGACATACGGCGGGCGGCTGGGCGGATCTACGGCGGCTGCCATACAGCTTGTCAGCAGAATAACATGAAAACACTTTAACAAATTTTTTTCAAATTTAAATATGTTGTTTATTTGGACTTAATGAAGGTCTAGTTAAATTTTCAAGATATTAGTATATCTCCTTTGTGAGTTATCGCCATTTTTAATATCCAAAAGTGGAATTTTTAAATATTTTACTCTTGTTTTCTTTTTTATGACTAAGCATAATGTCTTATCTCACAACAAAATATTGGAGTGACAGATTTATTTGAAAATTATCTATTTCTAAGTGGTAATGATTATAAGCTATATTATTAGACATTTTGAAGTTAATTACATTATTAATTATTAATTAGCTCTGGGTTATATCTTAGCATATAATATCATTGGAGTGACAGATTTATTTGAAAATTTTCTGTTTCCTGATAAGATCTGTAGGACTGTATTATATATAAAGTTTGAAATTTACTAGTAGGACTGTATAAATGAAATTTGAAATTTACTGTTCATTATTAGACATTTTGTAGATAATTAAGTCTCCCTAAACCATATATATTCTTACCCCCACCCCCTTTCAATTTGAGAATGTGCTTTTATCTTGTAAACGGTTGAGATCCCCATCCCTAAACCATATATATTCTTGTATGGGACAATAAAACAAATCAAATGAAATATTTGAGGAGTCCCCGGGTTCACCCCCACCCCTACTTTTTGAAAACTAATAAACGGTCAAGATCTCAATTCTGAAACCATATATATTCTTGTATGTGACAACAAAACAAATCAAATGAAATAAAAGGCGAGTCCCCTGGGGTCACCCCACCCCCTCCTGTTTGAGAACTTGAAAACGGTCGAGATCCCCACCCCTTAACCATATATATTCTTGTATGGGACAATAACACGAATCAAATGAAATATAGGGGAAGTCCACGGGGGTCACCCCCATCCCCCTTCTTTTTCAAAACTTGTAAACGGTCAAGATCCCCACCCCGAAACCATATATATTGTTGTATGGGACAATTTATTGCAAAATTAAACAAATTGTAGGTAAATGTCACTTTATTAGTCATTTTGACGTGTATGTTTACTTATTTCTTCATAAATCTAGAACGGTTGTCATTCTCACATTCGTGAAATGGGTCTATTAATGTATAGAAAAGAATAGACTTTTTCCCGTATGCAGTGACCTTAACTATGAGACCTCTCGTTATAACTTCGGCCACCGCACAGCGCAAGTGCGAGGGGAAAACCGCGATAAAAGAATGTAAACACACGTGCTCTTGAAGGTAAATAGAAATAATAAGTTCTTACAGAACAAATTTAATACAACAAATCATTTAACAACTGTCAAGGAATAGTTTGATTAATTATAGGTTAAACAATACTTGGTCATGTTTTATGAAGATTTAAAGCCCAAGGCGTAGCCGAGGGCTTTAAATCTTCATAAAACATGACCAAGTATTGTCTGACCAATTTAGAACATATTCATACTTTCGAGTGACCTTACAAAATAATCCTTTCCCATTGTAATATTCAAAACTAAATAAAAATTCACTTTTTATAATGAAGTGAGTATATAACATAGGTAATGACTATTACAATGGATGGAATGAAATAGCAATGACATAGTTTGTGAGGACAAAAAGGATAAATTGTTCAAACATTTGAGTTTTTCTTCTGCATTATGTAAAAATTTAATACTTAAAGTATACCTTAAATTTCTTGATTTTAATTAGCACACAATGTTATATCAATCCGCTTTCTGAAATTTGAATATTTTTTGATAATTATAAAAATTATAAATATTTGAATTATGACCATTCAACATCAGATGCTTACTTTTTAGTGATGAATGTACATGTATTGTGGGTTTTTTTCTCTCAAAAAAATCCTTTGCTTTATATATCAGCAGTCTGACATTGTTTTCTTAAAAAAAAAAAATTGACTCGAATGTCTGGTTTAAATTTTTTATAAAAGATGATTTTACCTACATCATTGCCCCTATTTTATTTTATTTTTTGTTTGTTATATATATGTACCATTAATATAAAGATTTTTAATGTTCTAAATGTTTTTTATATTTCTTTGTTTATCTTTAATCAGAAGGCTATTTTCCCAAGAAAAATGCCTCAGGGGATTGTACACTTCGTTAGTGAAGTTATTAAGAGTTCACTTTCATAATCAATCTACAATGAAAATTCATTCATGTATAGCATTTTATAGTGCATGGAAAGCCATGTACTATGAAAATTAGAAGGGAAAAAACTGACTTTTCATTGGACGAGAAGGGGTGAGTATGTTCTAACAAATGGGAACACATGGAAAATATAAAAACAAATGTCATAGCTCTTTCAATTACCTTATCTGTCACGCTTCCCACGTGCTTTGTTTTTTATTGTTTATCAATGTCACGATCCGGTAAGATAATTAGCTTGCGACCAACAACCATTGAATGAAATATTATTTGTCGATAATACGTTATAGATAAAGGCAACAGTAGAATACCGCTGTTCGAAACTCATAAATCGATAGAGATAAAAACAAATCCGGGTTACAAACTAAAACTGAGGGAAACGCATCAAAATAAGAAGAGAACAACGACACAACAAAAACATAACATTAAAATGTAACACACAGAGAAACGAACTATAATATAACAATGGCCATTTTTCTGATTTGGTACAGGACATTTTAAGAAAAAAATGGTGGGTTGAACCTGATTTTGTGGCATGCCAAACCTCCCGCTTTTATGGCAATGTTAAATATAACATTAAAATGACAACATTACATGACAGGATTACAATACAAATAAATGGGAGAACATATAGGACAAAGAAACACACGAATAATAGCTTACAAAAGGCACCATGTTTAAAATCCAATACGCCAGACGTGCGTCTCGTCCACACAATACTAACCAGTGACGCTCAGATGAAAAAAGTTTGAAAGTACAAAGCTGAAGAGCACCGAGGACCAAAACTTCCAAAAAGTTGCGCCCAAGACGGCCAGGGTTTTCTGCCTGGGACAAGAACATCCTTATTATTTAGAATAATTTATAATTTTGCAAACAGTAAATTTTATAAAATGACTATATAATAGATATACATGATAAAACCGAATTGGGACTAACTACAGAATAAAACGGATACATTTCATAAAAAAACTTAATCCAACACATAAAAATACACAGCCGAGTTAGCCAAAGCCTCAACGCACAAAGTGACGTCACATTTGAAATTCCAAAAAAACACACAAAGTGACGTCCCATTTGAATTTGTAAAAATATTTCCCAAAAATAAGATAGGATTAGGATTGATTCAAGATTAGATACATATACTGACATTACATTTATTAATAACAATGAAAATTACAATACTTATAAATATCAAATTGTGGTAGTAATTAGATAATTAATTGTATTATCTAGCTATGTCGGTGTTTCTTCTAGATAGATGTGTAATAAATATATAAAAAAAAAACGTGCTTGCAAGACTTGGTTAAGTATATATGCATGCATTGGTTCAATAATTTCGATAACAATAAAATTTCAAGAAACTCGTTTCATATGACTTTAAGAATCTATTATTCTATTAACCTTCAAGAGCACGTGTGTTTACATTCTTTCGTCAAGGTTTTCCCCTCGAACTTGCGCTGTGCGGTGGCCGAAGTTATAACGAAAGATCTCGTAGTGAAGGTCACTGCATACGGGAAAAAATCGTCGAACTAGTGTCTTGGAAGTTAATATTTATTCAATATCTGTACTTTTATGAAATTTTGATAATATAAAGGATTTTCTTTTAAAAAAAAATTCACATTCACTTCTTTTAGAGTAAAACTTAGCCATTCAAGTATATAAAACATATTCATCTTGTTTTTTAAAATTTGAAGTTTCATTTGAATATAAGGTCGGAGAAAGTTTGGACTGTCAGTGGAAAAAGAGGTTATATTGGTTATTGATGTACGTTCAGTGGCAAATATTTCATGTATTTTAAGTACGATAAAAATTTGACTATACATCAAATACTGTTTATTCATTTATGTTCGTGGGTACTAATTTTGCTGAATTTAGGAAATATTTTATTTCTTGGATACCTGATTTCGTGGATTTCCAAGTTGATAGGGAATTTGGACTTCATTGAACACTTAAATTCGTGATTCACCTATCACAACGAATTTCCTAGAAAATTGGTATTCCATGAATAATAAGGAAAATAAAATAAAAACATACCAAACTCCAAGGAAAATTCAAGACGGAAAGTCCCTTATCAAATGGCAATATCAAAAGCTCAAACACATCAAACAAATGGAAAACAACTATCATATTGCTGACTTGGTAAAGACATTTCCTTATGTAGAAAACGATGGATTAAACCTGGTTTTATAGTTAGCTGAACCCCTCACGTGTATTTAATCCACAGTAAGAAGGTACCTAATAGCAGATAAGGACGGAGGGTAGAAAATTTGGATCTCAACTTACAGAAACTGCTTTATAGTATAACCCTACAAATTGGCTGTAAACAGATTCAGGCTTATTATGAAAAAGCCGCTCCATGTTGAAGGTAACTGAAACGAGGAAAACCAATAGAATCGCTGTGTCCTTACCGTTAGATTTTCTATGCATGTGTAGTGAATTTGTTCCATGGATCGATACAACATATCGTTTCCTTTTTTTAATTTCAATACTTTGTCCATTTATGATATTTTGTATTATTAATGCAATATTTAACATTAATTTGTTTTAGGAGAATGGCGACTAATTCGACTACTAGTATTTGTGGTATATGTGATTTTCGTCAGGTGACTAAACCATCGGTAGTTTGGTGTTCTGAATGTGATGAAGGCCTTTGTGAAGACTGTACCGAACATCACAGCATCTCCAAGGCAACTAGGGAACATAGTACAGTTTCTATCGATAAATACAAGAAACTACCGCCATCAATTCTAACAATAACACAAACTTGCAAAAGCCACAACGAAAAGTTTCATATATACTGTTATAAGCATGATTGCCCATGCTGTAAAAAGTGCATCGTTGAGACCCATAACGAGTGCAAAGAACTTTCTGATATTGACGATGTGGTAAAAGATGTAAAGTCATCAAATGCTTTCGTGGATATCGAACTCACCTTGGCAGAAATTTCTGAAAATCTTAAAAGAATTCGAAAAGACCGTGAAGAGAATTTGACCTCAATCAAGGAAACAAAAGAAAAAATCGAGTCAGAAATAAAAATGACTAAATTAAAGATTGTAAGTAATCTTGACAAACTCCAAGGAAAGATATTGAAAGAACTCAACAAAACAGAAAAATTGGAGAGCAAACAAATACACAAATTGTTAACAGCAGTACAACAAGCAGATAAAGACGTAACGGAATACCAAAATAACATAGCGAACATAAAACAACATGCATCAGACCTTCAGGCATTCATTGCGCTAAAACAAATCGAACATGATGTAGACGAAAAAGATAAATTTATTCAAACATTAGTTAACAGCAAAGATTTAAATCACGCTGTTCTGTCTTGGAAGAGTAGCACTGATATGAAAAATGTCAATACCAGTATCTCAACATTTGGAAAAATTGTTGTTGAGTCTAAATCAAGTGGCATTACTATTGCAAGGAGAAAAAACCAGCAAGCTCAGAATATGGTTAACAATCCGGTATTGAGATCTGTCAACACTGGCGCTGAATTAAAGAATTCGAAGCAAATGAGAACCAATCCTGGCGACTGCAAACAATCTTAGCGATAGGGTATGCGACCTTATCAGTCAACAAAACTTCACGAGAACCGTTTGAAAAGGAACGTTCGTTGTCATTGGTCAATTCAAACCGACAACCTCAAGTAAACTTTCAAACCCCACCTAGATAAGGCACACGTGCGTGTAAAATACATATACAATAACACGAAAAATTAATCTTCATCAATGGTCTTATTATATTCACGGATATGTACATTGATATCATGTGGTAATTGTATTAAAAATGTCTGTTATAGGACAAAGGTGCTTCATCTGGAATCCATAAACCCTCCTATAAAATTTATATGCGTAACACTTGTGTACATGCATTTTGAGTTCAACAGCATCATTATGTGAATGCTTTATTATTATCTTGTCTGCACCCATAGTCTCTATTTGAACCGATCCTGAAATTAGATTTTTTAATAATGACACGCCTGAACGTTTTCTAAATCTTGTATTGTACTCAGTGGAACGACTTTTCACCTTTTAAATCTCCAAAGATATACATTCCATTTTGAAATCTGTTTAAAAAGGAACGGTCGTAGTCATTGGTCATTTCAAACCTGACGGTAAACCTCAAATAATCTTTCAAACCCGTCCAACATGTGTTAATTTTATTAAATATCTTTCCGTCATAGGACAAAAGGTCGATATTTTTTGCACGGGTAAATATGGAATCCAAAACCCTCCTTTAAAATATTCTAACCGTAACATCCGTGTACATGCATTTTGATTTCAGCCATTATCTTGTCTGCGGTAAAACAAATAATAAAGTTGATTCATAAGAACAACAGTGGTTGCAGTCATCGATGTAACTTCTAAATCACAGATTTCAGGGAAGGGCTAGAACCGAGTTAGGTGAGCTTGGTAGTCGTCGGGAATATATTTCCGGTTTGGATGACATGATCAAGTCACATATTTAAAAAAAGAATGGCTGAAAGGGTGTGATTTAATCAAATTTAGTTGTTGCAGGACCGGAACAAATAATGTCATGTCGTTTGAAATATTAGAGGAACGGTTTGCTATAGACCAAACGAACAAAAAATTAAAGCGTTTAACTATCTATATAACATTTTGATTCCAACGTGAAATACGAAAAAAAATTTCAAAATACGGTTTAACAAAATTTTAATCTGCTAACTGTGTCCCTGTGGATTATTCAACAATGACACGTCTGAACTTTTTGTAAATCTTGTATTGTACTCAGTGGTACGACTTTTTTTTTCTTTTTTCCGTATCCAAAGACATGCATTTTGGAAATATATTCTTTCAAATAAATTATTGTGCATGATCAATGCATATTTTGTGAGGGAGAGGACATGTTTTTTCTTCAAACAAACAATTTTTAACAATATTTTTGTTTCAACTCAATGTCGTTCTAAGTTTCAGTTACCCCCTACCCCTACCCCCCTCCCCCCACCCCTTTTCCTCTCTATTGTTCACTTATCAAGAATCAACAGTTCAACAAATCATTCCCTTCACCAAAAAAAGGGGCGATGCCTTAATTCGTGCCCTGGTTTTGTATGATATTTTTGTTGCAAGTCGTTAAGCAACAATGAATATTTCAAATTTAACCGCGTATACCTCTATGTAATGCTTCAGTAATTTCATAAAAATAGATGAACTATATAATATTAATGTGTGCACAAATTTTAATGTGACTCTTGTCATTATTGATAAACGGTATGCATTTTAGGAATAGACTAATTGTTACATTTGTACCGCATGCAATTAGCTTATATACAGGTTAGTTTTATTGTGACAGATATTGACACACATTTTGGACATATGGGCGATACAATTATTGCTCTTCAGAAAGGTAAACATTGTGTCGATCAATAGTTATGGAAGTATTCAGGCGGAAATAGTTATCAAAGGTACCAGGATTATAATTTAATAAGCCAGACGCGCGTTTCATCTACAAAAGACTCATCAGTGACGCTCAGATTAAATTAGTTATAAAGCCAAACAAGTACAAAGTTGAAGAGCATTGATGACCCAAAATCCAAAAAGTTGTGCCAAATACGGCTAAGGTAATCTATTCATGGGATAAGAAAATCCTTAGTTTTCCGAAAAATTCAAAGTATTGTAACAGGAAATTTTAAAAAAATGACCATATAATTGATATTCATGTCAACACCGAAGTGCTGACTACTAAGCTGGTGATACCCTCGGGGACGAAACGTCCACCAGCAGCGGCATCGACCCAGTAGTGTAAATAGTTATCAAAGGTACCAGGATTATAATTTAATACGCCAGACGCGCGTTTCATCTACATAAGACTCATCAGTGACGCTCAGATCAAAATAGTTATAAAGCCAAACTAGTACAAAGTTGAAACCCAGTTGAAATTAAACAAAAGAAATGGAACCCTTTGTTAGAAAAGATAAGAAAGGCCAAGTTGGTAAATTTGAATTATTTACATCTGTTTACATGGGCTTTAAAAGTTTAATGAATGTTCCTAATTTAGGATTTTATGCATCTCATGTATGTGTTTTACTTGAATTATTGTATGGAGCTTCGAGATATTTGTAAACTTTTAAACTATAGACAAATTTTCACAAAATAGATGATTGTGGTAGGTGCACATTCATGTAGATCGTTTTTGTGCATAAGCATACATTCCACCGAAAAAAAAAATCCAAAGAAAGATAAAAGAATAATTTTTTTATAGCATTAATTAGCATCTCTGTCTCCGGCGGCTTTTTTTTCGAAAAAAATCTCCAAAGTAGGCAATAATTTCATCGAAAAGAAAGTCGAGTACACCTTCTAATGTTTAGGCGTGTTTGTGTTGACTTCTGTCTTGAAAACGTATAAAATAAAAGTATTTGGTACATCATCTCGCTTCAGATTTTTATTATTTTTATATATTTGGGCTCTAGGTTGATACAATAACATTAAAAAATTTAAAGTGCTAAAAGATGAAATATATGGGTCAAGTAAAATACCTTTCAAATGAGTCATTAAAACGGAGTAGGTGTGTTCGAATAACATATTTTTACTAAAAGTAGTTGACGACATACTTTTCAGGTGGGTCTGTGTGTTATCTATGGTAATTAGTCTTCAATCTCTGAAAATCTTAAGTCTGCCCTCCTCGATATATTTGATTAGAATTTTTTTGAATATTTTTGAACTTTCGAAAATTTCCTCTGACAACCGATCAGACAATAGTTATAAGTTTACCAAATGCATAAAAGTACATTAAATGATGCTCACTAGCTAGTACATACATTTGCCTTTTAAAATACAACTGGCATATGAGGATCGTAATGACGCTATGTGGATAAATTTTACGGTTTTCAAGAGCTAAATTGACAGCGCGTCATCACTACAATGGCTTCCATTTTTACGATTATAAAAATTAGATGTCGAAATGGGGAGATAATTTTGACGAAGTAGAATCCTGACTGTATTACGATTGTTAAAGTGACCTCTATTATATTTAGAACATAGACTTTTATAACTTAACAGCACCACAATATTTGCTAAGTTAATTAGTGTGTGTTTGTCTGTCTGTGTGTGTGTGTGTGCGTGATATATATGTATACATATGATGTGCTTCAATTGTATTATGTATTCAACAGGAAATTTCCAATCCTCATTTTAATGCTATAAGCCGTTTTTCGGAAATACGAAATGAAAGCGGGAGCGCAAACAATGTTATGTTACTTGATTTCATTTCGTATAAATTTCTTTAAAAAAGCCGCATTCAGTTCAAATATTTACACATCTTCGAAATAAAAACATATTAGATTTGAATTTGAAAATGAAAGTATAATTATCTTTAAACACAATAATTGGACAGAAATTGTTGGGTAAGATAATGTGTCTAAGTACCCCCGCAAAAAATATTCAAACTCGATAGCATCTGATATCCAGTACAGTAACGGACCATTTACAGACCTATAGTATAGGTTGCACTTCTGTAAATAGAGACAATGCAATGTTCTATAGGAACTCCTTACAGCTTAAACTGTGCCACTTTTACTATGAAGTTTCGTAAAAAATTTATATCCTAGCATGGAAAGTACTTATGCACTACTATTTTTTTAAAGGTCAAAACATAGGGCTGTGCGGCATATATGCGGCCTCGAATTTCTAAGAGTCAAAACTTATACTAAAATTCTGTACTATCCCTCCCTTCACTTTTGGTCTTCCTAAGAATATAATTTGGCCGCAATCCATGTGCATTTATACTGGTAAAATTTCCAAGTTGTGTCTCTTTGAGATGAAACAGAGAGATCATATCTGGGAACCAGAAGGTAGACAAAACAAAATATCTATGAATATTTCATATCTCCCCAAAAGAGGGGTGGTTTTGTGAAACAGTTGTGTATTTACAAAGTGCAACCTATAAATGCATCTGTATTGTGAACTTATTTGTTTATTTGATTGAAATCGTAGAATATGAAATACACTTATTACTATTTTCGATTGTGGGATGTAATAATTTTTTCAGCCGTCGATGATCCGTGTCTAGATTAATTTATAAGTAAAAGTGTTCGGCAATATGATGACCAAAAATATCCGTACCTCGAATTCGTTTAATTTAGATTGCGCATGTTGCACAGTAAGAAGTGTTCGGAAAGACAAATATATATATATATATCCGGATATGGTGTACAAATTTTTGCACCTCATGGTTGTGGTATAACATCTTTTCCACAAGTTTATTTTTTTCTGTTTTGTATTAAATTACTATTAAGATCATTTTGTTACATCTGTGATCAATTTATTTGGCAATCGCCAATGGCAGTCAGCAGGGTTTAAGAACATCCGTTGTTCGACCTGTTAGTCAAATGCGTTTTGTTAAAATATACTTTTTCACTTTTTGGTCTTTTGGAAAATGTTGTTTGTGCTGTATTTAGACCCCTTTAACAAGAAATTTGTTTTACATGCACACGTATAAAAATTGCAGTTTTTATCCAACGCAATCATAGGTTTGAACGTTGTTTTCAATTTAGACTTGTTTATATTTTTTCGTTTGGGCTTGTATTATATATTCCTTCGGGTTCATATGATCCGTTCATCCTATTTCGACTCTTTAAAATTCAAGAGTCTATCCTAAATTGAGGTAAATTATATGGCCTTCCAAATACCGTTTCGATCCCTAACATCACTGAAGAGACATTAATTGTCGAAATCCGGATATGGTGTACAAATTTTTGCACCTCATGGTTGTGGTATAACATCTTTTCCACAAGTTTATTTTTTTCTGTTTTGTAATAAATTACTATTAAGATCATTTTGTTACATCTGTGATC